AGTATTCCATCAGTCTCACCTTTCACAATCACCTTAAAAGGCTCCATTCATATCAGAAGCTAATTTACTGTCAGTTTTTCTGTATCCTGAATGCCCCTTGGATCCCTGTAATATCTTCTCTCTGTTTTATATCCTGATTGTGAACTGTGGAAGAATGTTCAGTAAAATTAGATTTCTTGCATTGGCAAATATATGTTGTTTAATGTGTGAGGTAGAGCTTGTTACTTAGACCATAGAAACGGGACGAAAAGAGGGAAAACATGTCATTCCAGATTTAAATTTTACAGTTATACAGAAAATTTGGGATTTTGATATATCCTTCTGCATCTTATTTTGACCCTGCCTCTTTGTGTGAAGAGGAATCCTAATAGTATCTCATATTATTGCAGGTAATGGATTTCAAAGAATTCTTCACTGAATATGGTGAGGCCCATCAATACGAAATCCAAGAGGTCGTTGGCAAGGGAAGCTATGGTGTTGTTGCAGCAGCAATTGATACTCATACTGGAGAGAAGGTAGCAATAAAGAAGATCAATGATGTTTTTGAGCACAGCTGTGAAGCCACCCGCATCCTTAGAGAAATAAAGCTCCTTCGGTTGCTTCGGCACCCAGATATTGTAGAAATAAAGCATATATTGTTGCCTCCATGTCCGAGGGAATTCAAGGATATTTATGTTGTTTTCGAGTTGATGGAATGTGACCTTCAGCATGTAATTAAAGCAAATGACAGTCTCACTGCTGAACATTATCAATTCTTTATGTATCAGCTTCTTCGAGGTTTAAAATATATGCATACAGGTTGTGATTTCTCGTTCTGTTTTCTGGTAATTGAAGAACCCTCTGTTTTACATATGTTCTGATGACTCATTCCCACATTTGTTGATTTAACAGCAAACGTGTTCCATCGGGATTTGAAGCCAAAGAACATTCTAGCAAATGCAGATTGCAAGCTGAAAATTTGTGATTTTGGGCTTGCTCGGGTATCACTTGGCGATAACCCATCTGCTGTTTTCTGGACTGTATGCTTCATCTCTTTACTTTAAAGTTTTCTTAGTCTATCCTTACTACAATAGCTACTCAAAATATCTCAATGCCAACACTGAAGTGTTAAGTTAGTACACCTGTCACAGAAGTGCCTGATTCTTTGTGCACCGATATATCCAACACCATTCTGAAGTTGTTAATTTGTTACACCTGTAATTCCAAGTAAAATTCTTCATCCTTTTTCTCTAAAGGACTACGTGGCAACTCGCTGGTACCGTGCTCCAGAACTCTGTGGTTCCTTTTTTTCCAAAGTAAGTATGATGGTATACAGGTAACTAGGCATGCTTATATACATTACTTATATGATTGCTAGTACTGTTGAGGTGCATGTTCTCATGTTAATGTTGGAAAAGAAACTTAAATTTCATATTGTGAGACTTTTTACTTAGCATGGGATTTTGCTTTTACAATATTCTTTCATCTTATGGACTAGTGACATTGTTCCTTCGCTTCCTCATTTCTTGTCTGCATCGAGATGTCATACCATTGCAGAAAACCTTTTCTCCAACTGTTTAGGGCTAAGTACTTTCATCCATAGTTTACTTTTACTCTATTTCGGATGTTTTATACTCGATTTTATGTTCTTTATGCAAAAATGATGTGAAGACATCTAGGTTCTTACTTTTGTCTCATTTGGTTGTTCTTTTCTTCTGAATCATCTTTATTGCATAAAGGTCTTCTCCATGCAATGGCTAAAGATCTTGTCAGATAGCAATTGCTTAATGCTGAGACCATATTAGGCCCGAGAAATGTCTATTATTGTGGAATGAGTATTCATCTCTTCTAGGCCCTTAACCATTGTCTGGGCTGTTATTCTTTTAATTTGTAACAGCTGTTGTGAAATTGGTAACCCCTTGATGTTTCAAAAATATTGTCTTCCCTTGACAAAGCACTCGAAAAGGCTACTTTGGGTGCTGTCTCAATAATTTGATCTCGATTCTAGCATCATCCTCTTCAAGTACATAATGACATACAATCCTAGTTTGTCCATAACATTAGATGTGAGACTGTAACTCTCTGATTATGAAGAAGAGATCCTCTTTTCTCTCCGTCTTCTCTGTATCACCTCCAAATAACAACCATTCAATTCTTTTCATTTATTACATATGTGTTTTAGTTATCTCTGCCACTCTGTATATGCCATGTAGTAGGACCTTCAAGGACTTTTTCTCCTAATCTTGTGGTAGCTTAATCATGCAAATGATCTTTCAGAATTTTGCACAAAATCTAAACCAAAGACTTAATTGCAGTATACCCCAGCAGTTGATATCTGGAGTCTAGGATGTATATTTGCAGAAATGCTTACAGGAAAACCATTATTTCCGGGGAAAAATGCGGTTCACCAATTGGATCTCATAACTGATTTGCTTGGTACACCGTCCACTGAAGCCATTTCAAGGGTTTGTGCTTTCTATCAATCTATTACAGTTGATAAACATATCATCTAGTAATGAATCTTGAATATATCTTGTTCCCAATTTTCCTGATACCTGCAGATTAAAAATGAAAAAGCAAGGAGATATTTAAGCAGCATGAAGAAGAAAGCACCTATCCCTCTCTCACAGCAATTCCCACACGTTGATCCACTAGCTCTAAGATTACTTGAGCGTTTGATTGCATTCGATCCCAAAGATCGCCCTTCTGCTGAAGAGGTAGGATGTAGCAGCGGTCATTAGGCCTTTGTCTTTAGTTTGTATAAACATATTTTTTCCTAATACTAGCATGCATTAATCCACTCAGGCGCTATCACATCCATATTTCCGTGGTTTGGCCAACAAGGAACAGGAACCATCATCTCAGACTATCTCAAAATTCGAATTCGACTTTGAACGAAGAAAACTTGGGAAAGAGGATATTAGGGAGCTCATCTACCGAGAGGTATATCCGTTAACAACCATTTTCATCTTTGCTTGACCTCCTTTTTGCACCTTTTTCTGCCACTTATAGTGTACATTGTCTTCAACTGTCGGCAGATTCTGGAATATCACCCTCAGATGCTGCAGGAGCATCTTCATGGCACTGATCACACTCACTTTATGTATCCAAGGTAATGCAAACTTCTCTCTAAATAGTTCATATTTGTTGCTGCTGTGAACACCTTTTCATCTGATGATTTAACGCATTTTTCCATGGTCTTCGTGAAATTTGTCTCAAACTGCCTAACATCATCCTAAAAAACTTATTGTAATACTTGTGTTGTCATGTATCAACAAGAAATTTCATGATCCATGTATTGTATTAGTTGAACCTTTTAGGATAAGGACTGGCAGACCTATGGTAGTAGAAGTCATAAATCTCTTCAATGATTCATATCCTTCTGTCTACATCACTCGCACTGATGTTCTCATAAATAATTTATTTTTCATGTGCCAACTTATCATGTTATTCTTACGTTGTCCCTTCATTTCCTCCTGATGCTTGATGCATATAGTCTGATATATCTCTAACGGATACTTAATGGTGATAAGAAACGAGAAATCTGCTGCTAATGAGAGTCACATGTGTTTCTAGATTGTGATATCATTCAACACAAGGGTTGACCTTGTGTTGTGATATGTAGATGAATTGACTTATGGAATAATTGTGATTTGTGAGAGGGAAATATTCAGATTTTTGAATGAATGGATAATAATTCATTGCATAAAATGGACCATGTGTATTTCAAGTATAAGACAAGTAGATCTGCCATGATGTTTCTCTGGAAGTAAGACTAGCCATTAGTCAGGTTAGGTTGAGAATTCTTGCCTGTTTTGAGCTTCAAACCAGTAGTAGTGTTGGAACCTGTGAAGAACTGTACTAAATTTGAGTCATAAACTCATAATGCATCTAATACTTGAAAATGGAAAGATATTTCAGGACTAATTTTACCAGTTCTGATAATTGAAGGAAATCGATTCTGCCATTGCACATAATTAAAAAACTGGATACCGATGAGTTATCACTTGCACAAACTGTGATTAAGATGTGATATTTTCCCCTTACATATCCAGTGAGTCACTGTGTCTGCAAGTGATACAGGCCATAGACGAGGATTCATGCTCAAACCTGTGTATATTTAGTTCTTAACACTTATCTCCTTTTACTTAAAAGGTTTCTATTTTCTACATTTCCCCTGCTTTTTGCTCTGAAGCCCTTTCTGTTTCTGGTGAATGCAATACGTTGCATGTTAACTTACTGTGCTAATTGAAAAAATACATTTTTAGTGGGGTTGATTGCTTCAAACAACAATTTGACCATCTCGAGGGGCACAGTGGTAGAGGTGGAAGTACTCTCTTTCCAAGACGATATGCCTCATTGCCCAGGTGAAATGCCCTTGACCTTCTCTCTTTTGTGTTAAATAGTAAATAGTTGTAATCAATTTCTCTTACCTAAATAGCCTCATTACTATCTGCAGAGAACGAGTTTGTGCTTCCACAGATGAGGAAGCTGATAAGGATGGTGAATTTGAAAGGCATGCTGTGGCTTCTATGGCTCAGAGATGCCTTCCAAGCCCCCCGAGTTCCCCCAAGGTCAAGAAACCGGATACTGCTAATACAGTTGAAGGTCCTACAGAGGCTGGCCATAGTACACCAAAGAATACCGAACGCTGCATGCTAAGAAGTTCTAGTATTAGTTTTTCCAAATGTGTTGGGGCCATATGGGACGGCGAGGTAAGTGTTTTCTGAACTGTGGCCTATAAGAAGAAAAACACAATATCAACCAATCAACTATGCCCCAATCTAAATTAGCTGTGCCTAGGAAAGCCTGTATTGTAAAAATATAGTAACATATAACTCAGCCAAAGTATAGGGATTAGACCTAACGTGCTTGCAAATCACTTCACATTTTTTCGTTGTTTGAACGAACAATAGATAAAAAAATATGAGCTCTTAAAACCTCGGCAGGAAAATTGATATATGAAATGTTCTTTTTTTTTTCTTAAACTTATTAAATATCCTAATAGTCTCATCCTATGTTACTCGTACTCTCCAAAAATGTTGTCTCACCCGTGTCGAATTCAAAAATACACTATTTTTGGAGTATCCGACGCACAACCTTCGATATTTTTGAAGAGTCTGAGCAACACAGATCCCATCTTTGTCCCCCTCCCCTTCCTTATGGGTCGGCATGAAGGCTAACAGATGGCATAAAATCATGGGTACATTTTATTTCCTTTAGTATTGTTCCTTCCTGTTTTCTCCAAATTCATCCTTTCAACTTTAATTAGCTGCGAGACTGGTTTTTTCTTGAGCCCAGAGTCTATCGGAAACAACTTCTGTACCTAGATATAGAGGTAAGGTTTGTGTACACTCTACCTTCCCCAGACTCCACTTTATAGGACTACACGGGGTAACTTCTTGTAAACATTTTTTTTTATGATTAAGGCTATTAAATGTTTGTATTGAGGGGTGCCCAGAAAATCTGGATGTGAGTTAGAATTATTATTGTGCTTTCCTTCATATATTGCAAATAAAAGGTGCGCGACACCGTAGAATTTGCTTTTACCGTAATACCTGCATTTCCCTCAGGATACAACCTGCAAGCCATATCAAAATGGGATTAATAAATCATCGAAGACTGCTTTATATGCTTGAACATTTTTATTCTGGATGGATAAGGAATTGCTAAATTTCTGGTAAGTGACATACTGATTGCAATGTAATTGCTCATGTACTCGAAATGGAGTCTTGGTTGGTTGTATTGTAAACTATTAACAGTTTCGATTTGACATCATTACTTACATTATTTGTTCGACATCAGTTGTCGTTACTATTATACTGATTTCATTAAGACAGTAGATTATTCTGATTGGATTTCAAACATCGTCCTCGTGCCCAAAGAGGGATGGATTGTCCATTTTGTTTTCATTTATGTCCAGCATCTTCAACTATATTATGCTGTGGTTCACAGATGTAATGATCATATAACCAGTTGAGCTATTTATTTCCAGCATCTTTTGTATATATTGCAAGTGTTCTTTATCATATGATTGGTCCACCTTGATAGCACAACTACACCAATCACGCAAATCCTAAGCAAGTTGGGGTCGGCTACGTGAATACTTGGGTCATTCTTAGTCCATTACTTCATGTCTAATTTATCCCAACTCAATCTAATTTTTTTGAAAAAATAATAATGTGAAGTTGACTAAGAGGGTGCTTTACTTTAGTATCAATGCGTTTGGTAAATACAAAAAAGTTTATAAGTGAAAAATCATAAATTGATCATTCCCAATTTAAATGATTATTCAGCTTATAATAAGCACTTTTGATTTGTCTCGTTTGTTTGATTTCGGTTTAAAAAAAAAAAAAAAATTAAAAAAACGAAACAAATAATCTAGGTATTTATTTGTCTTTATAAGAATTCAAATTTCTGTCCTATTTTTTTTTTATTTTTTTTTTACTATTTTAGGAATTCAATTCATGTTCAAAATGACTTGTTTTTAAATCTTATTATTATTCACCATTAATTAATTCAATTATTGTCAAGTTGACTTGGCATATCAAAATTAGATCTTGATCACCATAAATCATAATTACGTAGAGATTCACTAACATGTTTTTGCTTAAAATATGATAAAAAAACAACTCCAAATTTTCTAATATACCAATAACGATAGTTAGATTCAACCTAAACCTTCTTAAATTAATTCATTTACTTTGTTTACTTCAAACATTTTTTTTTCAAGCTTAAAAAATCCAACAATTGTGTTTTCAATTTTTTCCCAACCACAATCCAAATTATTAAGGATAGACCCTATACGCTCCCCATGGAACATTACTCAGTCAATCAGACCACAAATAAGCAAACAATTTTAAATTTGCTGTAACAACATATTTCACTGCTGTGTACTCATGGACGAAAAAGGAAACGGAGGACGAGAAAGAGGAGGAGAAGAATGTTCTGGCGGGAAGGCTAAAAAACGTTTAAATTTTGTCCGTGTATCACGAGAAATAGAGAGGAGCCAAATCCAGGAATAACAAAGGAGCGTAAAAGATATGAATTTCGATTTCAGGAATCTATTTATTCAATATAATCACTCCTAACAACTCATCATATTGATATGAGATTGGCTAGGCTAGGTTAATACATGTTCAACAAGTTACATATCTGTTGGTTCGAATTCTATCACCAAATCAGCTTCTTGAATTGATTTAAACCTGCTCAAGATGCAGATGATAGGCGTCAAATCGTAGGTTTCCTGCTACTGAGCTTCCACTAGCCACTTCCATCTAGCTGTCCATGAGAAGCGAGGTGTGCCATGTATTGCTGAACCATCACACACACGAAAAGTTATAAATATATAAACGTATGCAAGACATGAAGTTCACGTTATCATTTAACTTTCCAGAATCCGATATGGAATATATGATGAGATGTGAAGCATTTAGTCAATGACATAGCACAGTTTCCCCCCTCGAGAAACTGGGATGATAAGCTCCGTCTTCTTGCCCTCTCCCATATCTTAAAAGATGCAGAGATGCAAATTTCAAACATCCTACACTTTGTAGAGATGACTAATTACAACGTCTCGTTCTATATCTCTCAAACAAATGATTTACTTGCTAGAACTAGCATATGAAAAGAGATTTCGCTTTTATGTATGACAGGAAAAGAATACTGCTATCACATTATGTGAAAAGTAAGGCATACGAACTAGAGTGAAAAATGTAAAATAAGTAACAACGCGAATATCTCATCATCAACTTACAGCATGATATGCATATGGTGATTTTCCTTGACGTTCAAAATGTTTAGCCAGGACGGACCATTCGACAGGTCCCCATTCTTCCAATTCAAAAACATTACCCAACGCTGCTTTATATAGCTAAGAATGGAAAAGAAAAGTCAAATTCCATAAAAATCAGTAACCCGGAAAGAAAGGGAAAACCGTGATAATCGGAACTTTCCATCATCATGCAATCAGACAGACCTTAGCTGTGTCTGTAAGGAGCTCTGTACCAGCTGGATACGAAGCATAGAATTGGTCAGCTCTCGAGTACCCCGCTCTAGTACTGCAATACGCAAACCGACATAGTGATTAGAAACAACATACCTCTAACTACGGCTGCGTGAGCACCAGAGGTTTGTACAAATATGCTTTGAAGCCAAGGTATATATCTCGGAGTGTTATAAAAGCAGATTTGCAAAAGATGATTATAACCAGCTATCTAGATTATAATGATCAAATGTTAAATCTATTTTAGCAATTCTCCGAAAAAAACAGAAAGCTACCAGTTTAACTTCTTAGTGTGGCTAGAATTAAGCAATAAACACTCACGTGTTGTTGGTGTACGCATATGTGATGACTGTAACGAAGCAATAGAATCCAGTATAGGACACAATTCTCCGGAACTTTTGGATCTTCAAAATGTCGTTCCATCCTTCATACAGCCGCCACATTTTGTATTGATCCGCTGAGCACGGAAATACCTTCAACAAAAAAGAAGATAGTAGCTACATGAATGTTAGACTGAACATGACCTGCCCACTTCCCACCTTCATTAGGATTGGGAAAATTTGATCTCATCAGGAGTCTAAAAGAAGTTTTATCGAATGCAAACTACCAAACCATGAAGACTCAACACAACAAATAACGAGACAAAACTGTAGAGGGTGATTAAAGAACAAGCTTTTCCATAAGGACCATAACCAAATCAATCAAGAAGGTGCGCACTCAAGGGGGTGGCCTAGTAGTCAACAAAGTGAGTTGAGAATCATGAGGTACAAAGGCTAGGTAATTTCTTCTCATTTGTCCTAGCCTTTGTAGACAAAATTACCTAGTACTTGTTGCTGGTGGGAGGTGGCAGGTGACAAGTTTCTCATCGAATCAATCGAGGTGTGTGATAGCTGGCCCGGACACCATGGTTATAAGAAAACTAGAAGGATCGTAAACACATTCATAGGCCGACAATTTTCGGGATAGATCGAACTATTGGAAGAAAATAGAAAAGGAAGACTTAGTGGGATCAAAGAAACTAACAGGGTGATCACTAAATAGATACAAACATGTGCAAATTCCGACATTTATAAGACTATAAAGCTAGGATTAGGAGCTCGGACACACATTTCCCCTATTTCTTTCCTTTTGATAGGAGAAATACATATGCGATTGGATTAGTACAATTATTGGTAGCATTATAGAGTGATCCAACTCGAATAAGACATTTCATCGAACAGGTTGTGTGCATAAGTTCCCATTTCATTTTTCCTAATAAAACCACAAGCTAAAAATCATACCAAAGAGGGCCAGCTCTCAACTAACAAAGACCAAAATTGGAAAAACTTCAATGGGTAACACAGAAAACTACATGAATCAGCCAAATAGAGTAAAAATTCACACAAAAAAAATAACAGCGTGGGATGCTCCAATTCCAAAAAGGTATTGATTTTTAGTACCATAACGTAATCTGAAAAATGTTTTTTAAATTCAAATTCGCAAGTTTTATTCTTCTTCCGATAATTTCAAGCTTCATATTTTGTTTTGTAGCAATTTGTGCAATGAAATTAGCAATGGCCCGATATTCATAGTTGAGAGAAATTATTGAAGAAATGAGAATTGAGAGTAGAAAGCTTACCGGTTTTTCAGCTCCGGCGAAGGGGAAGCGACGCGGCAGATGACAGTATTCAGTATTTCTCTTCTTGAGGAGTTAAAACTATGGGTGTGAAAATTTGATTTTTTGGTTTGGTATTATACTATTTGGTGTAAATTAATTCGAATCAAAATAAATTTAGTTCGATTTGATTTTATTTTTGATTTAGTGATTCAGTTATGCAATAATTAGAAACCTAATGAAAATTATATTTACAATTTATATAAATATATATGTATATATATATATATATATATCAAGTAAAACGTAAAACACAATATTTAAGAGTATATCATTTATAAATATCCAAACATAAAATATAAACTATATCATAATAACAATGACACACAATCTCTCCCTCTCTTTATATATACATATATATATATATATATATCAATTTTTTTGGTTTTCCAGCTTTTATTTTTCTAAATCTCAAATTAAACCAAAAAAACAAACAAAGAAAATTATTAATCTAAAACTAAATCAAAAAATCAATGCAATCGATTTGAATTGGTCTGATTTTTCGATTTAATCCAAATAGTGCACACCCCTAGGCCCTAGTTAAAACTACACTTAGCTGAATAGCTTTTCCGGTAATTTATTTTTTTGGGACAAAATTACTATATCGAGAATTAATATTAAGAAAATAAAATTAAGGCAAACCTGTGAGAAAAGGTAAACTTTTGTACTAAACCATTGGAGGTAAAGGTATTTTTAGATCAAATTATTAATTAATGATATTTTTATTTGATTTTGCGGGGTTGAATAATATTTTTGACCTTTTTCTATAAATAAAAAAGAATACATAGTAGTAATTATTTCATGTATCCAGAAAAGAATGACAAAGGTACAAAGGCCAATAAGCTAGTTATCGTTTTTATGGGGAAATGACTCAATCAGTTGGTTACCATAACTCCTATTTTGTTGGTGATGATTTGATTCTTACCTTGTAATTCCTACCCCCTTGCCCCCGTTTAAAACTATAATGTATTATAGGGGAAATTATGCGCATAAACAAATATATGCTAGTTAATTAGCTAACATAGTTATAGTTTGAATTAATTACGGCTTGCATTTTAATTTAGTTGTAATTACGCCGCCTCTCTCCTCTCTTCCTCTCTCTCGCCTCTCTCTTCTTTTATACATATACAAATTATATATATGTACATATACAATTATATGACAAATATACAAATACAATTAGCCTCTCTCCACTCTCTGCCCTTTCTTGCTCGTCTCTCCACCCTCTCACAATCTCGCTCGCCTCTCTTCTCCTTCTCCCGATAGACCTCAATAGAAAACTGAAGAGTAACAACAGCAAGTGATTGAGTTCAGGGTAATCTCGTTCGCCTCTCTTCTTCCTCTCCCAATCTCGCTCATTAGATATATACATACATATGTATACAGTTACATATATACAATTATCTGATAAATATACATATACAGTTCGGCTCTCTCCACTCTCTACCTTCTCTCGCTCGTCTCTCTCCCAATCTCACTTGCCAGATATACAAATATATATTTATATCAGTTACATACATACAATTATTTGACAGATATACATATTCAATTTGCCTATCTCGCTCACCTCTCTCCTCCCTCTCCCAATCTCGCTCTTCTCTCTCCTTCCTCTAATATGTAGCTACGAATCGTAATTAGCAAACTATAGCTATAAAGCATAATTTGAGTGGCTATATGTGAAAATTCCTCATTATTATATATGTCAAATTTTATCTTTTGCAATAATTTTTAAAGTTTTTGCTTTCATTTCTTTTTTCTTTTTTTTTTAAATGCTTTATTTAAAGGGAAACTTACATAAATATACTATATTAAAAAAATATTTACAATTGATAGCAATAATAGTGTTTTTTACTTGATCACTTTTAATACACTCATAATACAGTTTTAATACATATTACAAAGAACTATTCATTATTCGCATATAATACAAGTTTTATTGATGGATAATACATTTATCACACATTTTAATACACTTATAATACAATGTGTCAATCTCTTACCAAACAAGCATAATATATTTAAAAAAAACAGTTATAATACATATATATTGCATACATAATTCACTTTTAATACATATTGCAGATTTAACATGATATTGATATATATTGCTATAAATGGTAATAAATAAAAAGTATCGCTAAAATCAGTAATTATTTATTAAAAGATACTCATCCAAGTAATTTTTCCTTAAACGAACCATCTATCGAAAATAAACTCTCAAGTATGTTATTATTATTGTTATATTACTTGTAAATTTTTTTTGAAAGAATTGAAGTGAAAAGAAAAGGAAAGTATTTAATTTCTTTATTAAATAATTCATAAAATATAAAAAATAAATATGGAAAGAGAATTCAAGATGTAATTTAATAAATAAAATTTGAGCCCCTACCTCCACCCTTTCCAACACCTGTCATTAGAGTCCACCACGACGATGAAGTTCACCTAACTTATCGACGCATCCATCGAAAATAAATATTTGAACATGAAATTGAGACGTAAAACTATAGTACCAATCAATTATTATGTCTATTTGTTGTAAATTTCTCATTCAAAAGTGAACACCAAAAAGTTGTTACCCTCATTGAAAGGGCTTTGAAGTAGACAAGGGACCTACTTTAAATTTTTGTAAGACAACTAAAACCTATTAATGTTTGGACATGAATAGACAATTCTATGAATCAAATGACTTTTGGACATGTTGTTAAATAGCTAGAGATAAGATTGATTTCACCTTGTTCACACATTTAACAACTATTTTTGTTCTCAAAAAAATACTATAGTAACATGATCATTCTCAAATAATTAAGTTGAGGTCGGTAGTATGAATTGATACTGATTATATTTCTCTGATTAAGATTCTCAATACCTCAAAAATTCTCGAGCATTGTAACTGATATCCAACAGTCCCTTATCGAGCGAACCAATCATAAACACTAGCAAAATCACCCAAAAAGTGAATGTAAATCCAATAAAAAGACGATAACATTGCTAATTATTGATACCAATATTTAATTAATACAACGTTAAGAATGGAAATAGGTCTAGAATCATAACAACTCATGAGCATAGAAGAGTTTAGGAGTATATCACATGTTTGAATTAATAATCGATTGAATACTACATCTCCAAAATCAATCATATGGTGCATTGGTGCTCGTTTTTTTTTTTTTTTAAAGAATAGAAGGATTTTATTTATTAATAATAAGGTTTATCCATATAATAGAGGAACTAATTTGAATGATGTAGTTTCCACAACATCTCTTTCGAGAGCAGATAATACAAAAGAAGGAGATGCTTCAAAAACATAAGGCTGACTACTTTTCATATTCAGATCTTTTGATTTCCTTCCGTATATTGCTACTAAGTCTGCCACTATATTAGCCTCCCTAGATATATGCTCCAGCGGTGATCGTTGTGCTCGAATTAGTATGGCATCGTTTGGTATCCCCATATCAATATCAAAAGAACTAAAAAAATGTAATTAAACCAAAAACATTGGATTTAACCCTTGTGATTAGAGATTATGTTAACAATAAAATCGAATTAAAATCTCCAAATGAGATATTATTCTTCAAGGTTGTATAAGCTAACTAACCCCTCAACTCACTTATTAGTTTTTTACTTCCATTAATTAATAAAATTTGGAAGGGCTAGTCCTCACTTAGTCAACTAACATATATACAAACAAATTTATTTTATTGGATCATTTTTTAAAAATTTAAATTGAGATATTGATATGTAAATATAGGATGTGTTTGGTACCGAGAAAAATATTTTATAATTTTTTTATGTTTGATTTTATCAAAAAATTTGAAAAATATTTTCTTTTAAGAAAACAAGTTTCTCAAAATTTAAAAAAATATAACTTCTCTAATTGAAGTTTTGGGAACACAAATTTAGTAAATGACTTTCTACGTTTATTGTCTCCTCTCACCCTCTAACATACACACACCACCTCCACCTCCGCGTCCCTGCCCCATATCCTCCTTCCGCGCCACTCTCACACTCATACCAAAAAAATATACTTACATTTCAAATAAAAATAAATAAATATGTTACTAATTATTTTCTAAAAAAATTATGAAAAATATTTCTCTTCGTACCAAACCAGGGTTTGAGGAAGATATTTAGAAGCAAAAGTGTTACATTTTCTATGAATATGGTAATGTTACTCAATCATAGAGTTTCAATGGGTGATTTTATTTTTTTATTGATTTAGGTGCAGAAATGCATGTGTATTAATGTTAATTAGCCAACATTATTGCTGAATTTGGGTTAATTAATCACTGAATTTAGGGGTTCAATTGGATATTATCCTTCACGTGTCAAGACCTAATTCAATGTTATTAGCGGACAAACCAATAAACAATAAATAAATTGCATACAATTATCTTATTGGATTTATTACTTATATAATATGGTGGTTTAATGCATAACTAACATTTATTAAATTAAATTATGTCTGCTTAAAAAATCAGGGGTGGATTTGGTTGGTGAAAAAACTATACTGTATAGCCACTCATTAAAATAACAATCGATAAATATATAAATTGTTAATACAAAATAATGCATATATCTTTTATATATTTAACTAGTAAACCATAATAGAGCTAATCTTAATGAAATTAATATTTTTATTATAGATTACATATAAATATTCTCTAAACAATACGATTTAATTTATTTTTATCGAAAATATTAATAAACAAATGAAAAACCCCTCTTATATTTTGGATAAGTACATTTCCTTTTTTTTTTTTTTTTTGTATAAATACAAGTCAATAAGAGAAAAAGATAAGTGGAACTTTTGTCGAGGGCTGTTTTGAGGGCACACACCAATTATGTGATGTGAGAAATGTTTCATTTGATACATGTGAACGTGACATTTTTAGTTTATAAATAAATTTAAAATTACCATCGTCTTTCGAAAATATGATCAGTGAGAATTCATATAAACAATTCAATAATTTAACATACTTCAAGTTGGAGGAGCTATTGTTATTATTATCTCTCTTTCTTTGCGAGATATTAAAATTATCTCTAATATTTTTCCT